GCTTTTGTCATGTGCTACGGAATTAAATCTGATTGCCCAATGGGGTATTGTTTTGGATATCATACGATTATCGAATCAACGTGTGGGTTTTACTGAGCCCCTCGCGGCAGGAACAGCCAAGGGCGCGTGGTGACTTTTGCACTTCGATGACTTAGTCACGTACTCCACGACGAATCATCCTTATCGAGCCTGGCTACGATGACACATTCCGAATTGGACTGATGCAACTTTATTGTTGTCTCACAGGTCTCTATCTGGAACGGTCAGGGACGGGGTGCATTGACACGGCGAGTAACCCTTGCCCTTTACCTAACCGCGTTTAATCGTCTCGGCCCCGCCTGCCTTGGCCACCCTTTTAAAGCCTGTGGACCTGCTGAGGTTTTTCATCTCTTTTCGCCCGTTACCAACGTATGGCCCCGCTGAGCAAGGCTGTCGAGACGACGTTCCGACGTACGTTGGACGATGGGACGCTGGTATATGGGATCGAGCTGGATCCTGACTGGACGTATCAGACGTGAGCAAGCGTGTGCGGTTCGTGAGTCGATTCTGTGGATGACTAATGGCGGTTTCTCTATGGGTGGCTCGCCCGTGTAGTGTTGTCTTTGGAGGTGCGTGTGTCGGAAATGAGTCTTGTTTCCGGCTGACGATATGTTGACTTCGCAGGTTACGCTTTGAGTTGCCTACTGAATGCTTCGATGCAGTCACAAGCGGGGTCATCTACGCCTGACCCTTATTATATCACGGCGACATTCTTGCGGCCCATGGTGGTTGCCAGTGCCGAAGTTCATGTAAAGCTTTTACGCCGTACTTCAAAGCTGGTGAATTTGAAAGTCAATATGTACCAGAAGGTGGGCAGCTTTCTTTGAATCGGACTCGGCGATCGTGCTCAAGATTCGAGGGGAAGGATGAACTGATGATAGCCGCCTACGCTATTTTTGGCGACTTTGACAAGCAAGAAGGCACTTCACTGCCCTCCAAGTATGATACGTTATGTCCACTCAAGCTGCACCCTTCTCGAGCACAGCTGGATGCTCGGCCCCCATGGCAGAATTTCCGAAAGCATTTTGTCGGCTCCTTGGACCGGCACTTCTTGCGGAGCAATGCGGATATCGGGGAGAAGGGGCGGACGACTTTGGGACCCGAGTGGGGTGCTTGGGTCGAATTAATAGACCCCCTTGGGCATATTCGTCCCGATATGATTGGTTTCTGGTTCGATTTGATGTTCCCTGTAGACAAGTCGCTATCAGCTATCCCGCAACGGTCCAGTCCAACGTGAGTAGAGGCTCGTCATCTCCAGGTGTGCTGTTGACGGCGACGAGTTGTAGATGGTTCGCCACCCTTGCGATGTCGTTGGAGTTCAAAGTCAAGTTCCCCTTCAGTCGTACCGACTCTTCGGGGAGACCTCTGGTGGCCCCAATGATTCTCGGACACGTTGATCGAGCACGGCAGCTCAAGGGCGGGATGCATAGTGATACGATTGAGTTGTGGACGGCGCCATGTAAGTTGGGAGAGAAGATCGAAGTGGGGAAGAGATGGCGGGAAGAGATGGTATGCGTTGCGATCGGGAGGATGATGGGTATGGCATTGCCAGCCCAATGGGGAAGGAGGGATACTGCGAAGCGGGAGCCAAAGGCAAAGCTCTGAGGTGTCGGGTCCAGTGAGACGCTTATCTGGCGGGGATCTTATCTCTCTACAGTCTGTGTGGACGACCTTTCACAATGAGTCGCTTTGCCGGAGTGGTTAACGGGTTCGCCTGCTATTTATAGCTGTCCAGCGGATGCACTATGTGCGCGAGTGTTCGAATCGCTCAGGCGACGTATTTTTGCCTCATTTTGCCACTGTCTTACCCACCGGTGGTCCACTCCCTGAGTAGACAAACACGGGCCCCTCCCCCCCTTGACTGAAAACCCTTTCTCGGTCTATCAACGAACAGTGCAAAAACCATTTGACGACAACTTACATACATCAACTCCACGCGTTGTCAACGCAATCGAAGCATAGGTTTTCATTCTCCATGGCATCCCAATTCGGCATCGTGTAGCAGAGGACCGGTTGCTTAACCTCGATTCAAATAGGAAAAAGGAGACACAATAGCAACATCCTGGATGTCATCCTTAGCCTAATAAGGGTTGCTGGAGACCCTTTATGCGGGTTTGGGGAGGCCATGAGGCACCAAATGGCGGTTCATGGAAGTCGAAGTCGGCGATGGTTGACGAACGATTTTTTGACCGTCCAGCAACGGACAACGAGGTGTAGGTGGGGGATAGGAAAGTTGCTATTCCATTGGGAAACCGTTGATAAAGTCCGCGGTTGACCGTGTCTGAGTGACCTCACTCGCGGCACTTCGGCAGTCTCAACTAGAATTTACGGCCTTCCTCTTCCATAACCCCCCTTGCTGCACCTCGTCGCCTACTATTAAATCCACCAACCGACGATCATCACCTAATGTCCCCTTCCGATCCTCCACCTCGAAGCTCCACCATGCAGCACGTTATATCCTCCCCTCTCGAAATAGAGACCTTTTCCACACCTCCTTCAACCCCCTCCGCCTTTCTCCCCGTCCCTAATCATCAACCAATGCTCTCTCGCAAACCGAGCAGGCCCAGTTCGATCCATATCGACGACTCCAAAGATGGTAGCCTCCATGTTGAAGTAGACCACACCGCTAGTCCCGATCCATCAATCCCCAGTCCCCATCAGGCACACGTCCTCAACAGCTTGGCTCCTGCACTCCAGAGCGCACGCGTCGTTGGTAACGGCACCGTGGCGTCCGCAATCCCATCACACATGTCGCCTCGTCGATCACAGCCAGCCGCACCCAAGTCCCCATGCTTTGTCCATTCGCTACTCGACAAGGGTGCCTCACTGACTGACTGGTTGCGAGACACCAGCGGTGTCAAGAGTGGCGAACGCCCTTTTCCACCCCAGCATCGTTCCTCATCATCTTCTCACACATCGCCTTCGCCATCCAACTCTAGTTCAAACTCGCTTGGATTCATCCCAGGCTCCCCCACCGAATACGATGAAGAGGAGGATGGCGCCGCTAGTCTCACACGGCAGCTTGCGGCCACTGCAGTCGGCGTCCGGGAAATGAGCAAACAACTCGGTATGTCCAGCCTTGTTCTCGATCATATCCATCCCGAGGATCTAATTTCGATCTCTTCACTGCCCTCCGATGTTCGTATGACGTCGTACAGGTCGTGCACGCGTCAAATCCAACATCCAAAACGTGATGATTATCACGAAAGCGAGAGATAACCGCCTCATCAAGCTCACCCGCGATCTCGCCGTATATCTCATGGGGAAGCAGGGCCAGAGCGGTCGAGGCCTCATTGTCTATGTGGACCACCAGCTTCGAACGTCAAAACGATTTGACGCTTCTGGCATCGAACGCGACCATCCGGATTTCTTCCGTCCGATACCCCGCAGGTTCAGCTCGACCTCTAGTTTCAGCTCACAAGCATCCGATGCCTCTGAATCTACGACCAACGGAAATGGTTCGAAATCTTCTCGGGACGAAGGGCAGCTCCGATATTGGACGAGCGACATGTGCAGCAAGAGCCCACACCTTTTCGA